TGTATAGTGTGTACCAAGGCAGTCATGTAGGACTAAACTGTAGATGCTTTCTAATAAAAAAATAAGTAAAACAAAAAATTTAAATTTAGTACCCACCTTAATATAATTGTTGAGTATGATAGTTTATTATATTTTATATTGTATTTATACTTTAACTTCATTATAAAAGATGATTACATCCAATTACACTACAAGTTCTAACTATACATTTTCAAATTACATACGACTTTGTTTTTTTATATTTTTATAATAAATCATTCTACTATATTATTTTTTTTTATCATTATTTCCTATACATTACTTAATTTGCTTACTGTACACCTTACGGCGTATGCTGATTATAAATATAATTTTTACTAAACAAATATAAATGTACACAAATACAATATACATACATACGTCAGTACCTACTTTTATATTATTATAATAATATTACTATACTTCTACTGATATTAAATCAATTACAACAAATATTTTATGCCTGAGACAAAAATAAACATATTTTTTTTATTGACGTACAGCTTAAATATACATTATTTATACTTTATTGCTGTGTATACTCATAAAATTAAACTATCGATAAATATTTAAAACTGTGTACTTTGTAATATTCTACTGTATCATATTTATTATACATTATACATTATACATACCTATTTTGTGTATTATTTTATACAAAGAAACTTATTTTCTTTAGAAAAACTCGTTATATAAAATCAACATTTCTCAAAACGTATAAAAGCCTTTGAGTTATAAAATATAAAATAAATAAAAAAAAACTATAAAAAAATATGAGTTGATCTGAGTGATGTTAAAAATACACCAACAGAAGAGAATAACTAAAGTTGATAAATAATAATATATAATATTTGTGTGAGTCGGTAGGAAGAACGATGAAGTGCAATATTGGTACAACTCCGGTAAAATATTATTTAATTAATTATTGAAAGGTATTAAAAGTTGAATGATTTTAAACTTTTGTGAGTATAATCCCAACAGCTAAACCCAATAGTTTTTGCTGAAAATACGTGAAAATTCTATTGGTGATCGTTTATCACCTAACACATAATATGTTATGCATGTGCAAAATATGTAAATAATATTGTATTATACAGAGTAACAGAAGGAAGAAACTTTGTTTGCCTTTCACGTTGTCTATTTTCATACATTTTTGACACATCCGAACTTATCGATTAAGGTCTACACGTCTGGTAAACTAAAGGTATAGTCAGAGTCGTAGGCACGTTGATTTTGAGTAAGAGAATCTAGGCACTATCATATGTACTTTCAAGGTACAAGTAATAGTGTCAGACAAACACTGCATTTAGCAATGTTAACTTAAAATATTTATGGTTCTTCTGAAATGTTTCGAGTGTAAAATTTAATATTATTTATCGTTTGAGATTTTGGTGGAGGGGGGTCCGACCCCTGCTGTATAAGCCTCTGTCCAGTGGCGACAAAGCTTCTTCTGCGGCTTCGGCCTGATGTCCGGTTGTCGATAGCCAACGTTCAATAAACGGTAAATATTCAGACTTAACGTCGTTGCGTCAGCACTATTAATCACGGAAAGACGTATATGGCGGCATACAGTATTATATACCATCGTATTTATACTTAACGCGTGCAATATATTTTGTATTTATATTTTTACGTGATAACGCGAAACGAATTGATCCCCGACGTTCGATTCAATATTTTGGTATGAACCAGCAAATCGTACTACTCATTTCTAACACCACACCAGGGCCCAGATTAACGCGAGTGTTACGGATGAACATGATTTTGGCCCCAAACTTGTAAGCCTACCGCCCTTACAATATTATTCCCATATTTTCTTATAACAAACAAATAATTTAATATAAAATACAATTAAAACCTGTACAAAAATATTTTAATTTTTCTTTCTTAAAACATTTGTAAATATTTTATATATTTTTTTTTTACCTGTTGTCAGTGATGCCTGGAGAGGGGCATGCGGTGTAAGTGCACCACCTGAGAAATAAAAAAAAATTGGATTTTTCAAATAAATAACAAAATACAAAAATTCCTTCTCATAGTTTATAATATTTATGTCCAAGATTATAGCCTTAATTATTTGGTTTACATTGAAAAAAGTCCAGACTTGCTTGCCAAAGTAAGTATAGGTACATTAAATTATTTGGATGTATATGGTGTAGAGTCTAAGACTCTAAGTTGGCTCGTGCACTTTTACCCAAATTTTTTTATTTCGTTTCATCTACCGATACCGTAGTTGGCCTGCGTATCTAATTATAATACTATGTGGAGGAGTGGCGTGTGGATGCACAAAACTACGATGGATACAGTCGAGACTCGAGAGCAAGGCTTGAGTTGACGGATTATACGATGATAGTCGATGAGTTATTTTATAGTCAAGAAAACGTCATCCCCTATTACCTACTTTCCCAATCATCCCTACCTGCCACACCAAAATTATTATAACTTCATCTCTATGGTCTTTTGTAAATCTTAGCGAGTAAATTTACGCTTAAATGTATCATAATAATATATTTATATGCTTATGACTATAGAATATTATATATCTAATATTATATCAGACAACAACTTAAACGGATTCTAAAAAAGCATCCATTTTACGTTCAAAGTTCAAAATAAATAGGTAGGATACGAAGAAAAAGTAATTAAGGTGGTATTGCTAAGTCATGTTCATCTTATTCATTGTAATTATCATACTTCGTGTAGGTATCCATTCAAAGACCATAATAAAAGTTGTCTTCAATATGAATTTAGGATTAGACAAATGAAATTAATGTAGAATAGCAACTATTTGGTTTTTTTATGGGTTTTTTAAGATTAAAAATGTATGACTTTAGTTTTATTATAAGCAAATGACGTATATTTCTCTAATTTAGTGTTCATATAATAAGATTAAGGTTTAAATAATCCCTGGTAAAATTAAAGTTACTATAATGACCAATGATATATTTTGACATATTTTTAATGTAATTTCTACTTCTAAATTTATTCATAATATTTAGACCGTAGTCATATATAATTATAAAAATAATAGTATTTTTGACACATTCATTATGTGAGCTTCAAAGGGTTGATAAAAAAAATATGAAATTAAAAAGTGTTATTTTAATACTCATTACAAATTATAATAATTAAATTAGATTATATTTTAACACTAAATATTTATTTATTCAGTGTTTATTGTATAAGTGTCCATTAAAAAAAAAGTCTTATAAGTAAAGTATAATGAAAAATACAGAGTTTGTAGGTACTTAAAAGTATTATCACAATGTGTAGCTCACTTTTCTAATACTACCAGCCTAAATCATATTTACTTATTATAATATTATACACTATATAAATTCAGTAAATACATATTATTGTGAATGAAAAAAATTAAAAAATCTTAGGTACCCATGTATGGCATTAATACAACACTTAATAGAATTGTGGGAAGTAAGATTTTATAAAAAAAAAAAAAATAGTTTATTTAGAAGAAAATACTTTTTTCAAGGCCTGTTCCATATACAGTGATTTAACAAGTATGATCATCCCCTTATTTTCTGGAAGTTGGAATTTCGAATACACTTTAAGACCAAATTTTCCGATTATGAAGATGTTAGCATTATTTGAAGAGAGAATATTAGAGGTACAAACTTCTATTTTTCAAATGAAAAAAAATGTTGGAATATCAGAATCAAAAATCAACGTGTAGTTTTTGAGTTATTTAACTTTGTGTCTGAAGGATAATAATTGTGATAGGTCCTCGTGGATATGGTTTTGGAATTTGTAGAGGATATGGTGATTTGAACATTTTAATGATTATATTTATCAATCAAAATTTAAATTGTGAGTATTTGTACATTAGGTACATCCATTTTATATTAATGCTAACCATTATTAAGGACTAATATTTTTAGTATAAATATTTTAATAACTGTAAATCTATTCGTTTGAATTTTGAAATCAGTACCTACATTAAAATGTTCAAAAAAAAAATAACCCACTATATAATTTATAGAAAAAAAAGGTTCTCATTTTGAAAACAGAATTTTTAATTGCCATCCTACATTTAAAGTAATAAACAATTTTAAAAATGTAAATATATCTTCTTAAGCACATTTAAAAATTACAAAAATGTCAATAAATGTAATAATAACGAGAAAATATCACCATTTTGATCACCCCCGGTCATGATGGGTGAATCATCCTGTTTATTACTATGATAAATTTGAAATTCTCTCCCATGGACAGATAGATATCTCTTATAATTATATAGAGCTGAAAATATACTAAAATATCTTAGTATATTTAATATTTTTATAGTATTATCGCACCTATGCGTCGACGTTACCACTCGAAATATAAAATTGAAAATACTTCATACAAAAACACAATATTGTACACTTTTTTCGGTACAATAGTAGGTATACACAATCGACCTCGTTTTCCCTCCGGCACAACAGATGCGGTATCCACGCCACGTCACCTGCACGATTTAAAAAAAAAAAATACTGATTAATGCGGAGCACGCGCCCGCAAAATAATTACTACTCTCCGTTCGATTTATCGGCACCGCGTCTGGATGCAGCTATGACATGATAACCATTATAATAATCACGTCATCGTGATCATGGTACACGTGGACTGCAATAATTATGATAATTGTTAGCGCTCGTAGTTTGTTATTTTCGCGAATATTATTGAGATACAGTTATGCGCCTGCACCGCCACCGCTGTCGCCCGCACACCGGAACAAAACGCCATTCGGACCGGATGTGTTCCACACACACAGCAGCGGTGTTATAATAATAACGATAATAATGATGATGATAATAATATTATCATTATAATACTGCTCGGTGTGTTGCGAGAGCGGCGGCGGCGGGAGGACAGACGATGACGATGACGACGACGATGATGATGATAATAATAATAATAATAATAATAATAATAATATTATAATTTATCGTTTAACGTGTGCGCGTGTGTGCGTGTGTTTGCAGGTACATTGCGGTCACGCAGCCAATAAAATACGCAAAGCACAAAAACAACCGGCGAGTGTGGCTGACAATCGTGCTGGTGTGGGCCATCAGCGCGGCAATTGGCAGCCCCATTGTGCTGGGGCTGAACAACACGCCGGACCGGGAACCGGACCTCTGTGTTTTTTACAACTCGAATTTCGTCATTTACTCGTCCCTCTCCTCGTTCTACATACCGTGCATCATAATGGTATTCCTCTATTGGAACATATTCAAGGTAAGCTCGATTATTTAATACACACACACAGACACACACACACACACACACACACATACATATATATATATAAACTTTGAACTGTTTAATATTGTCCGTATATCTTTATATATTTGTATGTACATAATAGCATGTATATATACTCTCGTGTATTTTTTGTATATTATTGTACAAGTGTAATATCATATATTTTGTACCAATAAATAGTTATAGTATACAGATAATACATAATATATTATAGTAGGTATATATTGTACAAAACATACAATTTTATGATCGGGACCAAGAGATTGTTACGCCTTTCGGCGGCACTCGGTGAATTAATAGTGTTACTCTGTCGTCATCTTTTCGTAAATAGGTTATTTTAGGTATACATAATATACAATATTATGAATACATACAGGTACTTGCAGCGTTATTACAATTTGCAATGATAATAATAGGCACCCACGAGTGGAGGGAGCAAGACTGCAGGCGATTCGGATATAAAGAGAGTGGGTTCACCAAGCATGCCCATTGCTCAGCCTGGCTAAAAATTATAAATTATTATGCGTTTATTCAAATTCTGGCCCATGGTCATCTAAATCGAAATTTGAACTAGAAACGACCATATTATTAGGTATCATAGTTGTTGCTTACCTGATCGCCTAGCTAAATATTACTATTGAATCACTTAGTTAATTTTTTTAACTATACTTTTTAAAGGATTTACAAAAAGAAGTTAAAGAAAAATATGCATTTCATTATATCTAGGTATGCTCATTATTTAAGACAATATATGTATGATTGTAATTTATCTACTCAAAAACTACTTGACCAATTTGACGAAAATTTCAGTGATTGCTTTCAGAAATATCATAAAAGTTTTAAGTTTAGTTTGAACAACGTTTGATAAATAAAACTGAACAAATAATTGTTTTTATATTTTTGTTGATTACATGTCATATAAACTATAAATTACTATTATCAAATATTAATGCTTTGTTAATGAAACGAAACTTAAAATAAACAATTTGACACATGCAAGATACAAAACAAAAAATGGCATGCGCATCAGGTTTTTTTTAACATTGTAAAATACACATTACTCTCTATAAAAACAAATAATAGAACCTTTATATTTTTGCGTCAAAAAAAAAAAGTGAAATATATTATTTTATTATGTGTTCAAATATGTCATATACTCATATTGTTCGAAATAATAATATAACATGTATATTATCAATAATTATATTTTGATATCTTGTCACGACTACGCAAGGGTAGTCACATGGTGCTTTTACTGCTTATATAACAGTGGAATGCAAGTGCCATGGATAACGAGTTTTATTTTCGTCGAGATCACCTTAAAAAATATTTAAAATACGTCGACAATAAATTAACCTGTAACAGAACTACTCGCGTTCGAAGCCGTCGCTTGAAGTTGGTTACATAGTTATATTATAAAACATAATTCAAATTGATATTAAACTTACGCATTTTAATATTTTCTTCTTTGTTCGGATAATAATAATAAACAATTTATTAAGTAATATACCAGTTAAATATTATAGTTTTGGTAGGCCAATTTGGAGTGCTCTTCTTCGACCATGGTCGCAACAGTCTCGAACGAATTTGCCTTTTGGTTCATTCGAAGAAATAACCCACAACAACTGTTATTAAAACTATCGTATGTCGTTGTAAGTGAGTTTTATTACACGCAATCGTGTCATGTTTTTTTTATATCTAATAGTTACCGTACAGGACTATCTTGTCACTTAGCGGTGTTAGCGAAACGACAGTTGCAAGGTGTCAACCATGGTCAATTTGTCGGGTTTTCTCCTTTGATGGACATTATCTAAAATCTCGTTTAAAAATATATTTTTTATTTTGCATAACCAATTTGTAATACATTACTTCATATCGAAATGATCATAATAGTGATCATGGTGATCACCTTAATGTGCAAAATTAATGAACAATAACATAGGTATGTAAATTTGTTATTTACTTATTTTTAGATAACAATAATAATGCGCAAAATGCATATAAAGTTCACCATTTTTGTGGTTAACAAAGTTTTTTAACTGCTGAGAGAAGTTCTGTAAGCAATTAGGATATAAACCTAGGTACGTATCAAATATGGAACACATCTCTCGGGGCTATTTTCCACTAGATCTCATCTAAACTTGGGTTTCTGGTACAACAAACCAAGGCTGGGCAAGTTAACTATTTTTTTTAACTCGTTAAGTTAAGTTAATTTGGAAAAATGTAAGTTAAGTTTAAAGTTAAAAGTTACTTTCCTTTTTTATTTAACTCGTTAAAGTTACAAGTTAGTTGGAAAAAAAAGTAACTTAACTTAGTTAAAAATAAGTTACTTTTTTTTTTCTTATAAAACTTATAATTACACCATTTACACCTCAAGTTAAATATTTACAAATAACATAATAATATTATAATGTAGGTCTTTATATCTTAAAAAAATGTATTTTGCTGTAGGTACTTATAAATTATGAAATCCAACAAATTATTTGTATATAC